CTGACAGAATGCTACAGCCCGAGCAGAGAGCAGGCTGGGTGCAGACCTGACCAGAGGAGGATCTGGTGCCCGGTTAGTGTTGACAGTCCCTCCAGTTGCCCTGAGCCCTAGGCAGCAGATGGCAATTGCCCAGCCCTTGAGCTTCTGGGGCACTGGGACCCCATAGCCCAGCCCAGCCCTGCTTCCCTGAAGGGCGTCCAGCTGCATTTATCTCTTCCTTGAGGCTGCTGCTGTGCTTGCTCTCCTTGGCAAGGCTGGCTTCACCGGGCTGGAGAAGCGCAGAGATGGTGGGCTCCTGCTGGATGGGGCTACCACTGCTGGTGGTAGTGCAACCGCCATGGAGTAAGGCAAGGGGAGGCACGTGGCAGGGTGGAGCAGTCTGGCTGCAGGGCCCTAAGGTGCGCGAGTGTGGTGTAGATGGGGCGTGGTCAAGCAATGAGTGAGGGACAGAAGGCGGGATCAGAGGGCAAGTCTCAAATGGCATCCCAACTCCAACAGTGGGCAGTTCTGGGGCTGGGCTTAGGCAGGGCAGAGCAGAGCAGGGAAAGGAGTCCCAGCTGCCTCTTGGGGACGGGAACTTCCCACCCTTCCCCTTTGCTGGGGCCGTCAGAGGTGGGTGGGAGGGTCATCCCATGTGTGCAGCCAGAGCTAGAGGATGAAGTTGGATGGCGGAGGCCCAGTGGGCAGGGGCCGCAATGTGGCAGTGGCAACGACTGGCTAGGCTGCCTTGCTGCGGTCCCACTGTCTGCCTTTACTTGCCCACTGCTACTGCCACTGCGGCTGGGATGGGGTGGCTGGGTGGCTGCCCAGTGCATCTGACAAGCCAGATCACATGTCTCCCCCCACACCTCTGCCTCCACCCGCCATTTAAAGGGCCAGCCCGACAGCCACGGCATTCAAACCCAGCTGCATTGCATGGGCTGCAGAGCCTCGAGGTGCGCAAGTGCAGTGCACGTGGGGCAGGGCCGAGCACGGCTTATTGGATACCCCAGCTCATATCCAGCTGGCCATCGTTGCCAGCCAATGAGAAGCTGAGGGGCCAATGAGCTGCAGCTGCTGCCAGGCACTGCCAGCCCCCACATGCTCACCGCCTCCTATGTGCATGCCCAGGCAGAGCACCCAGCCGGGCTGGGGTGGGCGAGAGCTGAGGTGGCGGGGGCCAGCTCCTCACCATCTCCAGGCCTGATTTAAACCCATTATAAGCTGGATCTGGCTCACAGGCCTTGAGTTTGACATGTCTGCTGTAAATAATCCCATGACACCATAGAATCTGATGCTGTTTAGGGAAGCAAATGTGCAGTGGCCTTTGCTGTTTTTTTAATAATAGATTCCTTTGCTGGACCTATTTTGATGGTGAACTAGAAGAGGGTTCAATCTGCTTCTCAGAAATGAAATGGTATAAAATTTTGGAAGGGGCGGGGGGGGGGACTCTTGGTATTTCCTCTATGTTGAAAACATACATGTTTGCTAGCTCTTGACTTCGCTTGTCAGCTTCATGTATAATTCCATGGTTATAGAATGTATAATTCCATAACATAATTGAGACATAAAACCAGGTTACTCAAGCACATGTACAAGCCACCAATTCCTACCTCAAGGACTGGAATGCATATTATCCTTTATTCATCTTCAATCTCTAGGAAAGCAATCCACACAATCTTTTCTTGTTAGAAAATAATAGTTTTTCCAACTTGTGATAATTCAAACAGAAAGGTTCTTCTATCGGTTTTAAACCCTGAAATCAAATGAAATTGTGTAGCATTTCAAAACTTTACAACCAGACATTCTGAATTATGTTTAGAAATAGACTAAGCATTAGTAAAGCTTGCTCTATATGAATTAAATCAGATTATGAGATTTTGATACAAGGAAGAAATTATAGCTGTATTAAACCCTCGTTTCAAGCCAGAATTTCAAGTGGAATGATGGCTTATGTTCAGCAATCTCTTTTCTTGAGCTAGCATTTCATTATTTTTCCACAATGAAAATAAAATTCAAATGGTCAGTTCAGAGACATAGTTTTGTTGGGACAGTGCCAAGAGTATCACAGACTTATGTTCCTTATCCGTGTATTCCTGAGACTGCTAATATTTATCCACAACTATGTTTTAAATAAAACAAATTAATTAATTGCATTGACAAAAAAGACAATTTCCCCACTTGACATCATCCAGGACTTCCCATCTTCAAGAACATCTGCCCATGCCATAGGAGGATCCCCATGCCACAAGCTAGGTAGATCTTTTTCGGTAGTAGATATGTCATTGTGGAAAAGCTTGCCCCCATGGTTGATTTGGTCCCCAACTTGTTAGTTTTTCAGAAGATGTTAAGATAGTATCTTTTGGGGCACTAGTGGCAGTGTTAGATTACTTTGGGGTTTTTATTTTATTTTATTCTGCTCATAGCTTTTATGTAATGAGTGTTTGGATTGTATGAAGGATTAGAAGGTGCCTGAGATATTTTTTTTAATGATTGCTATGCATTTTGTTTGGTCTGTTTTTATGAACTGCTGTCAGTCTGTGTGATTGGGAAAAATATAAATAATGGCTGCATTGGTCTTCAACACCTGCAATTTTTAATCAGTTGGGAGGGCACCAGATTGAAGAAAGTTGAATAGATGAAGGATGGTATTCGAGGCCTTTTCTGGTAGATCTGTTAAAAGGCTGAATTGTGCTGAAAATGAGAGGGGGTGATTAAATTATACCATGCTTGGGTTTGTCATAATACTTTTTATGAAAAAGCTCAAAAGTTCACAAGTGTTATACATGTCAACCTACAAACTAAAATCTATGGTGGGGGAAAGCAATCTAGTTACTATGGAAACCAGGAATTTTGCAAAAATCCATTGAGCTGGCTAAGTAAGAGATGGAATTATATATGAAGCTGACAAGTAGAAGTAAAGAGCTAGAAATTAAAAGGATAAATAAATAGCATTGCTGAGTTCCTCAAATCAGGGGACTAGAGGAGAGAAGCATAAAACACAAGAAAGATTGTGATGAGCTAAAACATTTTATGGTAAGATTTGGGAAACATGAAGAAGTTGGTATTTACCCAAAATTGAACTTACTCGTGTTATGGGAGTAATGGCACATTGTAATTTTTCATTTTTGTTCCAGGTCCAAGCTGATCTTTATAAAAACAGTCCTTTTACCTCTTATGTAATTGCCTCCTCATAAATGACAATGCAGGATTTCAGAAGTGAAGCTGGATCTTTGTTCAGCAACAATAGTGTGCTAGATGCCTAGGTCTGGCCAAAACGTCTGATATTTTGCTAAAAATAAAAAAAAATAGTAATATTATGGGTAGTCCTTGACTTACAACCAATCATTTAGTGACTATTCAAAATTATAATGGCACTGAAAAAAATAACTTATGATCATTTTTCACACTTACAGATCACCATGGTCACATGATCAAAATTCAGACATTCGGCAATTGGTATATATAATGGTTGCAGTATCCCAGGGTCATGTGATCACCTTTTGCAACCTTCTGACAGGCAAAGTTACTAATTTAACAACTGCAGTGATTCATTTAACAACTGTGGCAAGAAGGGTTGTAAAATGGAGCAAAACTCACTTAACAACTCTCTTGCTTAGTAATGGAAATTTTGGGTGCAACTGTGGTCATAAGCCGAGGACTACCTATACTCCACAGTCAAATAACAGAGAATGCAAGGTCAGCAGGCCCTTGGAGCATTTCTCAGGAGCTATTAGAGACTAACATCCTCTGTATGTTAGTTGAGTAGTAACCACCCCAAAATCATTTCAGCTATTCTATGAATTGAAGTATATATTACTGGCAATGTGGAAAGCCAATCAAGATACTTTCAACAAAGGTTTATATTGTATTTCTGCTTTATGCTGTATTTCTCTGTCATGCAGAATAGTTCAAGAAGAAAATGGCACTTTTCCTGAAACAGTGTTTGGTGGAACTGATGCCCTTAATGTGTAATATAGTAATGTATAATACAGTCACATTCTTGAAGAAGAAAGAAATAACTTTAAAGCCCTGTTGCCAAAATTTGAGGTATACTATATACTATGAAGATACCTGAAATATATTATAGATTTACCTGCAGTTTATGCCTCCAAAGGGAGACTAAGACAATTGAAGATTTTGTAACTGATACATGAATATATTTTGACTTTAGTTTGAAACATAGATCCTAGCAAGGTATTATCAGCAGGCAAAAACATTTGAAGACAGGGCAAAGTGTATGTAAACAATGCAGCCAAAGAGGAATGAAGCATACCTAAAGAGTCACAAGTGATAAGTATAGCCACAAGGTTACTATGCACAAAACAACAAAACAATTCAAGAAGTATACATAGGAGTGTCAAAGGACTATGAATCTGAATATGATTTTTTTCATAAGCTAAATTAATGTGGATAAGATTAGATGACAGAAAGAAGTCTGGGTTTAAACAATATCCCTATTTTTTTATAAGAGTGATGCTGGTGTACAAGTTAATCTAATTGCTAAGAATGACTACAACAAATTGAAGCACTGAATAAAAAAATAAGATACAGTTCTAGATATTATCCAATGTTTGCAAGCATTAGGGCATTAGCATGGCTTAAACCAAGAGTGTCAACTCGCAATGTCACGTGACGTGTCACAACGTATTGCGACTTTTTTCCATTGCCGGCAGTGGAGTGCGGTTTCGCTATGATGCATTCGGCCCATGGGCCAGCAGTTTGACACCCCTGCCCTAAACTATTATCAATACCACAATACACCAATATAAAACATACATAATATATAAACCAATATCACTGTTACAAAAATATTGAGCAAACTAAAATATTATATTAAACTATCAATTGGTATTATAGCGGTTCTTATATGTAAGACTTTTATGGCTAAAAAAATATCTTATTCAGATAGTATCATGTGTGCTGCCGTGAAGAATTGTCACCACATCGGGACAGAATAACCAATTGTTAAAAGCACAAATTTGAAAGTAGCATAATGGTTTGAATCTTGCTTTTTGTAGATAATTGCATTTGATGAGCTAAAGACAGACTTCAAGAGTCCTATAGACCAGTGCAACCCAACACATGCGGTAAGTACTGCTCTTTGGTTTAATAATAACTAACATTTAATGAAAATTATATTTTGAAAATATAATGTTAAATGTGATTTTATGATCTTTAACAAGCATTGAAAAATACCATTCCTTGTGCCTTCATGGACAGGGCCTTATAGTTTTCTTGGCAACCATATGCAAGCTGATTGCCATTGCTTTGATTTCCCTGTCCAACCCTCTATAAGTGATTTTTATTTTAATATGTAAATGTAATGAGTCTGGTCTTGACATAACTACTTCTGATTCAGAAATGAAAGTTCCTGCAATAAAACCCCATAAACT